TACACTAAAAAAAACAAGAAGTTCGATATGAACAAGAATTTATTGACTGGACTAAAGAAAATATAATTCAAGTTATAATTCCAAACAACCAAGTTTTTATTAATATTTTGTCGAAACTGCATTGAAAATTATAAACAAAATCATAATAAAATCTATAAAAGTATTCATTTATTTATGTAATATAAATCATAAAATATAGACCTATTTGTCTATAGTAAACATTTTAAAATGCCTAGTTTATATGAAATAATTGCTATTGAATTTGAAATATCCAACTTGTCTGAAGTAATAGCAACTGAACTAGTATAATCTGAAGTGCAAAAATAGTGATACCGATATACATTATCTCTGTCATTAGAAAGATATGCACATTACGTAATCGCTCATTACCAAAATCAAAAAATTTATCTAACGCTAATCGGCCAAACAATCATTCGTACCAGATGTAATGAAAATCTGATAACCAGTTTTATATCCTATCGAAATAAGAGGATAACGGTTACATCCGGATATAACCTCTGCGCTATCATGTAATTTTTTATAACGATCATCTGGGACTTTTAATTGATTTATTAAATTATAAAACTAGATATAAACTTCTACAAACCATTTTCGCTTTTGCATTTGCATTATTTTATGACTCACTATGAATAACGACTGTACATATACAATTTTTTATACAGTAGAATCTAATTCGGATATTTGCTCGGGCCTTGTAAGGAGAATTTCAATCGCACTGTAATTAGCGGTTCCCTTACGTACTTCGCCACAATTATTTCACCAACAGCTCATTTGTCGGTATCACGTCAAGTGAAACCATAACATATGATGTCGGCTAAATGGGCTATCGATGGTATGATTGTCGGTGAAACAAGATTTATTTAGTATATTAATTAAATTCATTCTTTTCTATTCGAAAATTATTCTCGTTGCTTTATCTTGTGATTAATATACTGTATCTGATATAAATATCATATGAATGACGCCAAGGAAAATGGGACTTAAAATATATAAGTTTTACAATATATGATTGAAGTCACATTTTCCTTGGCGTCGTTCATATATGTATATACTATCTTTTAAGTTAACCGGATAAGTTAATAATAATAATCCGTTAACCAATTTTATAGTCCGGTTATCTGGTAACCTAGTGGTTAATCGGTTATCATATCTTAGGGTACGACCACTAGGCGGGAGAAGTTGAGTCGAGAAATTTGTTTGCCGAAGATTATTGTGTCGAAGTGGGAAAGAGTATCGAAAGCAACCTCTTGTCGGCTATTTATATATCAATCGTGGTCGGTGGCTTTTCTATTACGTATCTCTGGTTGCATGCAAAGATGACATGTCATAATATTGGACATTTGGGCAATTTGTGCATTTGGACATGTGAACAATGTCAAATTTGTCCAAATAATTTTTTATCAGTAGCTTACTGTGAAAGTGTTTCCCAAAAGCTTGAGATATTTTGCAAGCTTGATCATTTTAAACCATCAGATAACACTGTTATTGTATGCTACGTAGCCAATAACCTGTTTATTTTGGCTGCGAATTTAATATGAGGCTCTTCTGAAAGATTTATTATATAAAAGAATAAGTGGTTTACCAACTGTAAAATAGTATACATTATTTTCAAATTTACAATAACTAAGTCATAATTGACGTAATTGAAAATAACACAGAACATTTTAGCTTTGACACATTACCCTAGTTTTTTTGGATAGCCAGAATTTATCTAATATTACTATTTAGCATATTGAACTTGATCCAATAAAGTTATTGGACAATGTCCAATTAACTTATAATTTTATTGGACATTGTCCAATGCATAATGGTTTAAAAAAATTATTGGACAAATTGGACATAGTCCAAAGTCCATATGTACAAAGATCCAATTAAATTTATTTGGACATTGTCCAATACCAACACTAGATTCATGCAATTTAACGGATTGTTTCGTTCTTTGATCCCGACCCATGCCTTTCGTCCCGCGATTTGAGAGCAGGGATTATAGCATGGGCGTGTAACCCTGACCAGTTCTTCCTTTCTTTTGATCCGTCGACCCTTGTCAACACGCAGTAATATTAAATATCAGTATCTGAATCTAAAATGGGTAATACCAAGAGAGTATTGCCCATTTTTAGATTCCGATACTAATATTAGTAACAAATTCGTAAAATTTGATCTTGTAAATTTAGGGGATTTAAATAAAGATCAAATTCCAAAATCCTCTGAATTTGAAAGTATAGAAGTATAAATAAGAGCCAGGATAATGAAAAAGTTTCAATTGTCACAAAATTTATAAAACGATGATAATTTTTTTTGTAAATTGCGATTGTCAAGATCCTTAAAAAATCCATGTGTTTTGTGGTAGACCAATCAGAATGCAGGAACCAGGAATGCCAAAAATTCATGTGATTTTAAAGGGTTAACTTGGCCAATCAGAATGTAAAAGCTTGAAAGATTATCCAATCAGTGTGCAAATCGAGGTTTAAAAAGCTAACCGGAAATTTTATAGAGCATATTAATATACTATAAAATTACCGGTTAGTTTTTTTAAATATCGCCTACATAAAAAGTAAAGCGATTTGAAATTTCACTTTTAATATTAACGTGTTCTACAAAGTTACCAGTCAGTTTTAAAAATATTGCGCCTATTTCCACGGTCATGTGATTGTAAACAGGTTGCTTTATTACCCTTATTACTGTATTAGTAAAATTTTGGGTGTCTTAGGAAAAATTTGGTCAATCTACTGAATTTTGATAATCTATTCCAAAACGAGTCGATTGGGCCGGGCTGCATGATCCAATGCAGATCTCAAGCCAATCTGCATGTGCATCAATATATACAGTGCGGGCGCTTAAGATATCAAAAAAGCGCCAAATTTAGAATTTAAATAGTTAATTTTGATTGGTCTAAATAATATAACACAAAAGTAGTAAATTTTTGTTTATACTGTTAAAAATAAAAGAAAATCCTCTTTCAGAAATATAGTTTGGGCTATACCCTATTAATTCGGAAAAGGTTTTTTTTAATTCAGTAGTTTTTTAGTAAGCTATAACATCTTTAAAACATGAGGATGTCTTACACTATTTTTTAAGACCGGGCCGGACCGGACCGGACTTTTGTATCTCCACTTGGTATCTAACATTCTAAATAAAAAATACTCGAAACTTTCTTAATACTAAATTTAGTACATGGTAAATTGTTAATCACCTCTGATTTTTGCTTCAGCACTATTTTTAACCATAAATTCATGTGTGATCCCTCAAACATGACATTCATGGATCCCTTCACGAAATACTGTGTATTATACGTACGTACGTACATAGTTTTGACTCATTTTGTTGGTCAATCATCGGCTGATAATTTGATCATGAAAACTCACAAAGGAATGATCAACTGCATTCAAGGCAAAAGAGTAAGGTCTGAAAACTCAACAGTAAATATATCTAAAAATTCTTCCGCCGTGATGGTCAATAAGTTCAATTGATCGAATAATTTAAAGCAAAAAAATTAGACATGAAATGGTCTATCTTCGGCTTTCTCTTGGCGAAATCACGAGTTATAATTTAACTGCGCTTTCTTATGTGACATATTTGGTGGGCATTATGGTTACACGACAGATCTTTAGTGGTTAGCGTAGATCAAAATCTATCGCAATTGCAAATAAAGCGAAAATTGGAATACCTCACGTGATTGAAGAATATACATGTGTTAGTTAAATTGTCAAAAACAAATGCAAAATCCGAAAATACTGTAAATAATAAAAATAATCTTGTTTTTACCACTGACTTTTGTGAACAAATACAGTATAAATCGAATTCCATAAGAGATCTGCGAAATTCTGTAAAATCAAAACGGGACTCATTTAGTGAAATTTCATAGAATATCAGATTATCAAATATTTTATATGATCTTGTGATTTTTTTGTCACGTAATTATTTGTGCGAAATATCACGGAAAAAACTTCACACGATCATATCATATATCGATACGTATATTTTTCAGAAGTTAATATCACATCTGTGCTGCTACACACATGTGGCATTAACTCGGATGAAAAAAAAAACTTCAAATTATTTTCCATAGTCTGCTTAATATTGTATATAAAAATTTAATTTTAACACTCACATTGTTTAAAACGAACGTATATATCTTAAGTGCATGAAGAGATATGTCCGTGATGATATATAATAGATTGAAAATCACCATAAGGTTTTAATTAATCAATTAAAAATTCAGAAAACTTATGATATTTTAACCAGTTCAAATTATGGACTTCATGGATCATCAAACCTTTTAAGGCATTATTTAATTATCGTTACTTCATTGTTTTATTAAGCTTCTTATATCAATTATCAATTATATTCATATCTCATTCCAGTCAATCGGCGTAAGTAACGATAACACGTAGCGCGAAATTTGATATGTATTCGTGTGTTTGAAGCGATTCTTATGCCGATAATATAAACTCTAATCTATAGAAACCTGATCGGCATGCAACTGATCGTCTCCTTTTATATCAAAAAGCCTAGCCCTAATGCTAACGATATTTGACGCTGCCGGTTAGACATCTGATCATTTGTGAGTGTACGAATTCGTTCTAATGAATGCCAAAATATTTAATTAAAGATTTACTTCCGTTAATATAAATAAAAAAAGAAATTCTTTAAGCGATCTAAGTTATGCGTTTCCAAGCCAGTCACTGAATCCGATATTGATCATATGATTTACATAGTTTCGTAAGGTCATTCCCGAGCAAGTCCCATATAATTAATTTATTGGTATACGGGGTTATGTGACTATATAAATGAGCAATCTATTTATTTCAACTTGCTTTTTCAGATTTTGAGACAAAATAAGCAAATAATTGATTTAACTCTTATTTATTTTATTGAAAAAATTTTAATTTTTTTATATCTCAACGCGCTTGACACATTTTAAACCTTATTTATTCATTTATTCTTAACATATAAACTTTATAACTTGATTCTTAAAAATGCCAAAGTGGGCTTTTGTTCATGAAAATGGTAGATCTCCTTCCTCTCATACGCGACGTACCATGCCAGAAGAATGGAGATCGATTCGTGTTCCTTTCCCTCCCAAAATAAATGCCCATGACTTTGTTAAGCCACGGCGAGATGGATCCCCAAAGAAGAGATGTGCTAATTATTTCTTGGTATATCGCGTTCAATTTGCTGAAGCACTAAAGGCACACTGTTGTAATTCGGCTCTCATGACGGATATATCAAGTATGGCTGGAGATGCTTGGAGAGAAGAACCAGAACACGTTCGTCGTTTTTACAAGCAGATTGCGAATGACATTAAGAGACTTCACTCAGAGTCTGTTAAATCTGCTCAAAATGCTAAATCTTCGAAAACTAATACCTCTTCTAAAACTATCGAATCATCTGTGAAAATACAACCACCATCAGATCAACCACCATCAGACCAACTGCCATCAGGCCAACCACCATCATTTGAATCTTCCACAAATTCTCAAATAATGTCTTCTTTTGATAACATACAATCACCTGTAGATTTATTTTATGAACAAATTGCAGATTTTGGTCAAACTATTCCAAATAATTCGTTCTCATACTTACAAAATTTGCACACGATAGATCATATTAATGTGAATCCGGTTCCATATACATATAGCCAACCTAGTATTCCACAGGAATATGATTATCTGAATTCTGGTTCTTTTCATGAAAATAGTATTGATTCAATTAAAAGCTCTTGTGATTTTTTATTCGATCTTTAGTTATCGCGGGATGGTGAGTTATACTGAATGTCTGGCTCAGGATCAATTTAATCAAATAATATAAAGATAACGACGAATATAGGTTGAGCAAAATGGGAATTTCTTTATTAGAAAAATATAACTTGCTGCGCAAAACTTTACTTCTCCCTTTTCTTTCATTTTAAATTTTATATACTTTCGTATAAATAAACTAATACTATTATTTCTTAATATGTATATATTATACTTGAATTAAATTAGTCTCCTCGTAATTTTCTTAATTTCCCCTTAATTCTTCACGCAAACAACTTTTATTTATTATTAAATGAAAGTTTTAACGTTTTCCAGATGAAATAATCAATTTTTTTATTTCGTCAAATGAAAATTTTCCTTTAATAATAATTATATACATTGATCTTGTTCACATTTATTAAGTGAATGGATTCTCAGTTGTCTTAAACCTAATATTTTTTCGTAATTGTGATTAGATTTATTTTATTAAACATTAAATAAAATATCAAGAAAAAAAAAAAAGTTTTCAACTGAATTTTGTTCACATGGTTAAAAATACTTGATCATTGGAAAGATAAAGAGATCCAGGGTATTATAGCGATCTATTGCATGTATAATGACTATGTATTAACCCGAAAATAAATTTCGAATTTACTGAAGACTGCTAATGTTCGGACAATAGAATTTGAAACTCCTGGTTTCAAATAATGTCAAATATTACCCAATTTCGTACATAACCCGACATGTAAATCAAAGAAAGCATTTATTCGATTGTTTGGTTGCTTAATATATATGTCGGGGTTATGTACGAAATTGGGTGTCAAGTGGAGGTGGGGACATTTCTCAAGTCAAGGGTAATTACCTTCTTACGTCATATAAAATTTGGGTAACTATCCAGATATGGCTATGCCGTACGTTATTTCATGTTCTAATGTCCCCACCTCTAGTGTCAAGGTGTATTGTTGTAGATAACGCGTACAAGATCCTTTGGTTAATCAGCTTATTCATTGGTTATTCCTTCGATCCTTAATATGTAGAGCCGGAGTATTCAACTATTTCCAGTATTTAGAATAGCGATACTGATATCAAAAACAACCACATGATTATTTATGTTCATAAAATTTTATTCTAGGAATCGAATTTGAAAGTTGTGCTATGATTTGAATTTCAAATGCTATTTATTTGACATTACTAATTCGCTTTTTAAAGTTTTTACTCGAAGTAATGCAAATTTATAAATCGCTTATCAAGTATTATCAAAACCCCTGTTTCATTGTATTAAACGAAAATCATCACCAGAATACGGGAATTACAAATTCCAATTATTTTTACCACATGATTCTCATAAGATGTTAATTTTACTTTACTTTCAAAAGACCGAGGCCAACAGGCATCTAAGTTGATCACTTATTTATTCCTACACGTTTTTTTTAAAATTACTTTGCATATAATTAAGACCAACGCAACTGAACCAACTTTGTACCATAAATTAGAATCCAGCCTCAAATTACTTAATGAATTTATAAGGACGATCAACACTACCCTCAAAAGTCCTGGTCCCATGATGAACTCTACATCCGCGACAAACTCTAAATTATAAGAATTTATATACAGTTCATCATAGAGTTGTACTTTAATTGAACCTAGCTGTCTCTTGCGTTACGTAATTTTCTGGCCGGAAATTAATTGTTAATTCCAAAAATAGGAAAAATGGGGATCGCCAAAGCGGGGTAAACCAAAGTGTTTCGAGTAGATCCGAAAACATTCGCCCAGGAGAAATTATTTCACGTGTAGATCAATATATTGAATATAACCCAATATAAACTCCTGATAAGGATGGCCAATCAGAGAACGTAAATTTTGGCTATTCCGGATCAGCCTGACAAAAAAAAAAGAAAACGAAAGCTAATATTTATCGCGGTTTTCGAATTAGAAATCAGCAAAAAAATTTTTTTTGCTGTATACCCGTATACTGTGTATAGTATGCCGGGATTACCTTAGCACACCGGGGAAGACCGATACTTACTACATACGTACGTACTTATTGTTTACCAAAAACAATTACACGTCTAATTGTTAAGGTGCAGCTGGTATACGAGCATACACGAGTATATCAAATCTGGTATTATAATAAAAATTAGTAGTGCGGATTTTATGCATAGATCGGAAATTTACTAGCGAAGACTAATGTTTAAAAAAATTGCTTCATCTCGTGTGTCAACTATTTTTTTCAAGCATCAAACGACTAGTTTAATATAATTAAGCAAACTTATAGCTTAAAATTTTTATTTTTATTTTATTTTTTAGCTTGAACAATACACAAAAAGTTTTTTTGTTAATTTAATTAAAATTTTAAACTATAGCTTTGTTTAATTACATTAAACTAATCGTTTGATGTATAAATTGCTTGAAAAAATAGTTGACGCGAGATGAAGCAATTTTTGTCTTCGCTAGTAAATTTCCGATCTGAGTATAAAATCTGCACTAAAAATTTTACGACAGGGTGAAACCCGCGTTACGTTATTGATGCAGATCACTACCTATAATAGCAACTACCCTATCACTAACCCTAACTAAGTAAGATCTGCATCAACAACGTATCTCTGTCGCGGGTTTCACCCTTTCATATAATTTTTATTATATACATTTTTATTATATACATAGATTTGATAATTAGTATATAGGATATACACCAAAAAAAATTTTTTGCCCTAATTTTTACTATTTCGAAAACCGCGATAAATCGACCTTGGTGTACTAATTAAAAATAATAGAATGCTGTAGCTTTTAATACTAACACTCTAACTTTAAACATTTATCTTTTTTTTTGGTAAATAAATTCAATTTATTTTGCCTTAGAAATCCCAAAAATAAAATTTAGAAAATACGTACTATTCTTATATTTCATTGATATAAATTATATAAACTTTAAATTTTAGTTTAAATTTTAAAAACTAAAAAATATACTTTAAAAACTATATATTAAAAGTTATAATTTATACAATAGGTTAAATATAAATTATTGTATTGAAGTAAATTATTATAAATAACAGATTTAGAATTTCATTTTTTTGAAGTAATTTACCGCTATAACGATGTATCGCTACTCCGGGTCTATATAAAAATCGAAAGCCAAATCCCGAAAGAAATCCCGAAATTTAATTGCCGCGTCATGTGATGTCCTGGTTTTGCTATTCGAACTCCGCTTATGAATGATTACTAGGTTTTGAATATTGGAACCCTGACATCACACGATGCGACAATGGGGTAGTGATACACCCTCATAGGAAGATATTCATATGATTGGTTAATTTTGTTGATCTACCCGTGATTGCCCGTAATAATTAACCAATCAAATTACATAATTTTTTAAAACGTTTATCATTTTAATACTAGAAAACGAAGAAAACTTCGCTT